TCCTTTCCTTTTTCCTTTCCTTTTTCCTTTCCTTTTTCCTTTCCTTTTTCCTTTCCTTTTTCCTTTCCTTTTTCCTTTCCTTTTTCCTTTCCTTTTTCCTTTCCTTTTTCCTTTCCTTTCCTTTCCTTTCCTTTCCTTTCCTCTTTCTTTCTTTTCTTTCTTTTCTTTCAAGTGAAAGCAAGATTTATTCAGAAACCACAGAAAGTTAGAAAGTCTACTCCACAGGCAGAGCAGAGGCAAGTTCTCCCTGCAAAAGAGAACCAGCCTATTTCTTAAGCTTAATAATATTAACCTTCTACTTACTATTGAGTGTTTCTGCTAATGCATGTTTGGTGGTATAAAATGTATATGTTTATTTTTTGAAATCTTTTTTTATAATTTTAAAAAGTTGAATAGCTATTATTTTGAATGTCTAGTTCTTAAGAGGTGATACGATGTTTCTGTTTTTGTTTTTAGAGTCTTACATTTAAAGAAAAAGTAACAAGCCTTAAATTTAAAGAAAAACCTACAGATTTGGAGACAAGAAGCTATAAGTATCTTCTTTTGTCCATGGTGAAACTAATTCATGCAGATCCAAAGCTCTTGCTTTGTGTAAGTATTTTCTATGAAATACCTCAAAATTATAACAGTAAGTTAAGTTTGGTTTAATTGAAATGCCAAGACTGTGAGAATAATTGTTAGCTAATTGTTACTGATCCCTTCTGATTGTACCTAAAACCTAAGACGTCCCTAAGAAAACTTATAGAGAATAGTAATATAATTAGATCAGATTTCTTAACCTTTCTTCTTAATTTCCTTTTTCATTAAATTAGCATACTTTGAAGAGATCTTCTGTCCTCTCTCTGTTACCAGGTTATATGTTATTCAGGCATAATCCTGGGATGGGGGTGGAGATAATGAAGCAACAATAAATCACAGTGCTTTCTACATCTACACTGTTGGTTTTTGGAATCTCCAGTTGTTACTGCCAAATAGTTTAGCTTTTCTATACCCTTTTTCCTGTTATCAGCCTTCTATTATCATTGGCTCAGCCTGGAAATACTATACTGGAAAGAGAAGGAGGTAAAAGTGAGTGTGGTTAGTACTCATTTATTGTCATAAATTACTGGTACACGGTAATTAGGAACTAATATAAATGATGCAAATGATTGATAGTTATATGAGGTAATTAAAAGCAGGGCTCTGAGACAGACTACTTACTAGCTGTGTGATTTGGGTGACTTATTAAACCTCTCTGTGCCTTAGTTTTTTCATCTGAAATATTGGGATAATGGTTCCTACCTCAGTGAGATTGTTAAGAACACTGAAATAGTACATATAATGCCTTTAGGAACAATGCCTAGTGCATAATAAACACTAAGTAAATGTTTTGCTATTGTTACTATTTATAAGATACAGTTAATATTAACATTAATATTATTAATGCCCTAAATGTAACAGTTCTGTATTGTGAAGTTTATAGGCTAACATATATAATCTTTGTTGAGTTTCTCTAGTCCCTGAAGAGCAGCACCAAGCAAGGTTTCTTACTGTTCAGGAATAGGCTTTTTAAGGTGCTAAGGTGCTTTCAATTTTGGTGGTATATCTTTCAAATTAACTATAATGTAGGGGTTCATAGCTAAATGTTCATGGTTTCAAGAATTCTATGAACCCCCTGAATATTTAAAAATACGTATATGTGAGTAATTTTTGTGGAAGAAGAGAGAACAGAGAGAGAAAGAATTCTCAAGTCAATAACCCCAAAAGGCGACCTGTGATATTTTAAACTCTTTGAAAAGCCCATTGAAATTCAGGAATCTAATGGAATAAATAGTTAGATCTTTGGCATGGAAAAATTCCATGAAATCTGTCAATGAGACTCTGTAAAAGTCATGAAATGCTCTTTTTCTTTATTTCTTTGTTACATATCACAAGTTATTTGTGGCATTATTTCATCACGCAAGTCACATAATAATAGCATTACCCTGTTTACATGGCTTTAATTCAGGTCCAAAGAAGGCACCAAAGTAACTGATGTCTTTTATGTTAAATATATTGTTTGAAAAAGAGTTTAAGCAAAACTTGCTATTTTCCAAGGATCATTTAAAATGGAAATTGTTTTCTTTGCTGCCATCTAGTGGTTAATAACTTTTTCACTTTAAAGTTACCACTCTGAGTCTTGGTAGATAGGCTGTCTCAATCATTGTATTATTAAAATAATGTAATTTTGTTGTCCTCCATCTCTACCATCTTTGTCCTAATTTATATTACTCTCAGTTTTTCAAGACTTCTAATTTTTCAGCTTGTGTCATTTCTTACATCCCCATAATCATTTCTGTGCACTGAAATTATGGTAATCACTTTAAAAAGTAAATCTTACCTCGCCCTTCATCCAACTTAAAACCTTTTGTTTGAAATTGCTCTTGTTATAAAAACTAAACTTCAAAAAGATCTACAAGTTCATGCAGTCTTTCTCCTACCTACCATTTCTTCCACATCTAGCATTATATTTTTCTTTGCCTTCTCTATTCATGATGGCCTTTCTTTCAGTGCTTCTTACTTACCATATTCCTTCATACCTGCCCTTGTATTTGCTTTTCCCTCTGCCTAGAATCTTCCCTCTATTCTTTGCATAGTAATTCCTGCTAATTCTAAACTATTATCACTGCCCTAAGGAAGCCTTTCTGACTAGGCCACATTTCCCTGTTACAGGTTTTCATAGCAGCATGTACCTTTATAACTGCTATCTGATTTACAGTTTTGTACTTGTCAGTCTGATTTCTTTTCTTTTCTTTTCTTTTCTTTTTTTTTTTTTCCCCCCGAGATGGGCTCTTGCTGTGTTGCCCAGGCTGGTCTCCTGGGTTCAGGTGATCTTCCCACCTCAGCCTCCTGGGTAGCTGGGACTACAGGTGTACACCACTGTACCTGCTGGTCTGGTTGTTTTATTGATTGATTAGAGATTGATCTCTTCTCTATGAGACCACATGCTCCTGGAGGGTGGGAAACATCTTCTTTTTTTCATTTTTGTATCTTTGGTATTCATTAAATATTGAGTTATGAATGAATTTGAATGTCAGAAAGTAAGCTAACAGTTTTGAGTTACAGATATACTGGGATGATGGCTTACCTTAGTTATTATAATGGGGAAGAATCTGTAGTTACAAAATAAAATATGGACGCAAATTGCATTGGCTTCACGTAAATATATCAAAGTGTAAATAGGGCTGGGTGTGGTGGGTCACGCCTGTAATCCTAGCACTCTGGGAGGCCGAGGCGGGTGGATTGTTTGAGCTCAGGAGTCCGAGATCAGCCTGAGCAAGAGCGAGACCCCGTCTCTACTGTAAATAGAAAGAAATTACCCAAACAACTAAAAATAGAAAAAAAATTAGCCGGGCACGGTGGCGCGTACCTGTAGTCCCAGCTACCCGGGAGGCTGAGGCAGGAGGATCGCTTGAGCCCAGGAGTTAGAGGTTGCTGGAGCTAGGCTGATGCCATGGCACTCTAGCCCAGGCAACAGAGTGAGACTCTGTCTCAAAAAAAAAAAAAAAAAAAGTGTAAAGAGATGCTTCTATAATAAATTATGGGAAGCTTTTTAGTTTCTAAACACATAGACATTGACATTTATTTACAATGTTAATTTTCTTTGCTTAGTACACTATGTTTCTCTACAATGAAAAGGACTGAAGTGTAGATACCTAGAGGTGTGGATTCTAGCCCTCCTTTTGACACCAGCTTTATAGATTTGGGCAGGACCTTTGTACTGGACAAGTGGGCTGTACAGAATAATCATACAGTCCTCATCCAACATGTATGTTCTTTGCCTTTGATTGCAATCATGTATAAGCTCAAAACCAAAGTTCCAAATCAGATGTATATTATTTAGCCAGTGTACCTTTGACCCCTTATCTTACTGATATGATACCTTAATGGAAAAGTTTAATGTGTAGTTTTTGTTTTCTCTTAGTTAGGATTTTTCCTGGACATTATTCACATTGGTGAACAAATATAGATGTGGATTAAGAGAATCCATAACAAAGGTAGTTTTGATTTTTTAAAAATTCTATTATTTTTATTGAGATATAGTCCACATACTATAAAATTCACCATTTAAAAGTGTACAATTCAGTGGTTTTCAGTATGTTTACAAGGTTCTGCAAACAACACCACTATCTAATTCTGGAACATTTTTATCACCCCTAAAGAAACCACCATACAGCAGTCACTCTCCATTCCTTCCTCCCTCTCATCCCTGTCACTTGATTTTTTCTTTAATTGGAGTTTGCTTTTTTCTTTGCAGAATCCAAGAAAACAGGGACCTGAAACCCAAGGCAGTACAGCGGAATTAATTACAGGGCTGGTCCAACTAGTCCCTCAGTCACACATGCCAGAGATTGCTCAGGAAGCCATGGAGGTAAGAGGAAAATGAATTCTATGCTTTTGAAGGAAAGGTTGTAACTATGTACTTTCTTGATGTTCTTTTGGTATATGGTTTCTATAAGTAGTAGACAGATGTCCTTTCTGGACATGGTATGTTTGTAAGTCTACACATTATTTTATAAAACTCCATTGAGAAAGAAGGAGTTTACTTGCTTTAAATATCACACTGTACAAATTCTTAAGCTTAATGAAATAATTCAAAATTTTCTAATTGCAGTTGACTTTTTTGAATTTTTTAATATATATTGATTTTTAAATTGAGACATAATTCACATACCATAAAGTACACCAGTTTAAAGTGTATGGCAGTGGTTTTTAGTATATTCACACAGTCGTGCAAACATCACCACTGTCTAATTCCAGAACATTTTTGTCACCCTAAAATGCAACCTCATCACTCCCCATTCCCCTGTCTCCCAGCAACCAGTGAACTATTTTTTCTGTTTCTATAGATTTGCTTATTTTAGACATTTTGTATACATAGAATCATATAATATGTAACCTTTAATGTATGGCTACTTTGAGTTAATGTTTTCAAGGTTCCCTGATGATGTGGCATGAATCAATATTTCATTCCTTTTTGCTACCAAATATTCCATTGTATGGATATTGATTTTGTTTATTCATCAGTTGATGGACATTTGAGGTTGTTTCCACTTTTTGGCTATTATGAACACTGCTGTGCACGTTTGTGTAAAAGTATTTATGTGGACATATCTCTTAGGTATATATCTAGGAGTGGAATTGCTGGATCATATGGTAACTCTCTTGATCTTTTGAGGAACTGCCAAACTGTTTTCCAAAGCAACTGCAACATTTTGTATTCCCATGACCAGTGTATGAGGGTTCTAGAATCTTTGCATCCTTGCTCACACTTGCTTATTGTCTATGGTTTTGATTATAGCCATCCTGATGGATGTGAATGCAGTTGACTTTTTAAAAATTATTTTTATATTGATTACTTAATAGAGAGTATGGTTTTAATTTAAATGAGTTTTATTGAGGTATAATTTATATAAAATAAAATCATATAAGATTTATAGTATTTTTAATCACCACAGTAAGAGCCCCTGTGTCCTTTTACAGTTAATACCTCCACCCCCTGTCCCAGAGAACCACTGGTCTGATTTCTATCACTCTAGGTTAGTTTTGCCAGTCTGGAAATTCATATGTTGAATGTATTCTTATTTATCTGTCTTCTTTCACTCAGCAAGTTTTTGGGATTCGTCCACGTTGTTGCATGCGTTAGCTCGTTTTTTTATCGTTGATAAGTATTCCATTGATGATTATACCACAGCTTATTCACTTGTTGATGGGCACTTAGGTGAACGTAGCCATTACTGCCAAAAGTTACCTTGTACTCCTTTGTAGTGCCTGCCTCCTTGCCTCCTTACCTCCCTCCCTACCATTCTTACCCCTTGCCTGCCCCCTTTCCTCCTTTGCAACCAGTGATCTGCTTTCTGTTACTATAGATTAGTTTGCATTTTATATAAATGGAATCATAAAGTATATACGCTTTTTGTCTGTCTTTAACTCAGCATAATTATTGTGATATTCATCTATGTTGTTGCATGTTAGTAGTTCATTTCCTTTTGTTGAAGTTCATGCCTTCTTATGCTGTATAGTGTTCCACTGTATGAATATAGCATAATTTGTTTATCTGTTTACCTGTTAATGGACATTTGTATTGTTTCCAGTTTGGGGCTATTACAGATAAATCTTCTAGGATCATTTAGATACAAATCTATATGCTTTCATTTTTCTTAGGTAAATAACTAGGAATGCAGAAATCTTACTGTGTGGTCTTTACAAGAGGTATAGCTTAAATATAAGGACACTGGAAGATAGACAGTACAAGGATAGAAAAATATGCGCCACAAACACTAACCCAAGAAGGCTGGTGTGATATATAGGGTTTAAAGCAAGATATATTACTAGAAATGAAGCGGGACATATTATTATTACAAAGAGATCCAACCCATCCAGAAAATAAAACTATTATGAAGCTAATAACAAAGCTTCAGAATACATAAAGCAAAAACATATAAAGTTTCAAAATATATACAAATATATAAAGTAAAAGGAGCTATATAATCCAGTTATAGTGGGATACTTAAGCACACCTTCCTCAAAATCTGATAGAACAAACAAGAAAAAAAAGGTAAGGAATAGAAGATTTAAGCAACATGATTATCAAATTTGACTGACTTGACATGTACAGAGCATTACACTCAGCATTTTGAAGTACACATGAACATTCACTATATCCTGAGCATAAAGCAAGAGCCAGCAGTTTCCAAAGGATTGAAATCATTCAGAATATTTTCTTGTGACCACAGTGGGGTTAGGCTAGAAATCAATAACAAAAAGATTTATGCAATGTCAAATGACTATACTGTGTTTTCATTCATACTCTGCTTTTAGGATGTAAATTAGTATAACCACCATGAAAAATTGTTTTGCAATATTTACTTAAGCTAAACATAGCAATTCCAGTCCTAGGTATATATCCAACAGAAATGCATATGTACATTTACCAAAAGACATATATAAAAATATTAATATGTAATTTGTAATAGCCCTCTAAACTGGAAACAATCCAAATGTATCATCAGTAGAATAGATAATTTTGGTTATATTCATTCAGTTGAATACTATATAATAAGAAAAAGAATGAGCTACTGCTAAATGTGAAATATGGACGAATCTCACAGCCGTAACATTGAGTGAAAATAGCCAAAAACAAAGAGAACACATGCTGTATGATTTCTTACATATAAAGTTCAAAAACAGGCAAAACTTATCTATGGTGGTGGAAGGCAAAAGAATAGCTACCTTTGTGAAGGGCTAATGACCAGGAGTGGATGTGTAAAAAGCTTCTGGATGTTGGTAGTGTTGATCTGGGTAGTAGTGGGGGTATATACTTAGTGAAAATTCACTGATCTATAATCTAAAGATTTTCTATCTTACTGTGCATGCTGTATGCTTTAGTAAAAATGTTTATAAAAATGTTTCAGCCCTCATTATGTAAAATCGTTGCTTATATTTGTTTATATTGCTGTTGACCCTATAAATTAGTACATTTCTTGTATTCTTTTTAGAAAGTTGTTTGACAGTATTTGGCAGGAGCTATATAAATATTTCAATTTTTTGTCCAAATAATTCAATTTCTGTGATTTTTTTAATCTTATGAATACAATTCAAAAGGAAAAAGCTACACATATAGATGCTTGTTACTCTTATTTATAATAGGAGAATATTAAGAGAAATTTATTCCCTAGTGAGAGAATGGGTTCATATTCCATAACAAGAGAATGGCATTTCAACTTGAGCTGTTAAACATTTATTAAAACCTATGTAGCTCACACAGCAATATGGAAAAGTATTTTATGAAATGTCAAGTGGGTATACTGTGTTTACAGCTTTGTTGAAATATATATGGAAAGGCTGGGTGTGGTGACTTACTCATGCCTGTAATCCTAGCACTTTGGAAGGCCAAGATAGGAGAATCACTTGCGGCCAGGAGTTTGAGACCAGCCTGAGCAACATAGCGAGATCCCGTCTCTACAAAAAATACAAAAATTAGCCAGGTGTGATGGCACACGCCTATACACTCATGTACTGGGGAGACTTAGGCAGGA